TGTGATGCTTCGTGTACCTATACCACGGTAGTGAAGGAAGCTCAAACTGATCTGACTGATCAACCACTGTGACGAGATGTGGCTCTGCACATTTTAAACACATTCTGGTTTTCTCAGCCATCTGCAAGACAGATGAGGACACCAAGGTTCAGAGAGATGACAAAGTCTGACCACTGTCACACAACTAACTGGCAAGTGACGGATCTAATTTTTTTTTTTTTTTTTTTTTTTTGAGGCAGAGGCTCACTCTGTTGCCAGGGATAGAGTGCCGCGGCGTCAGCCTAGCTCACAGCAACCTCAGACTCCTGGGCTCAAGCAATCCTCCTGCCTCAGCCTCCCGAGTAGCTGGGACTACAGGCAGGTGCCACTGTGTCAAGCTAATTTTTTCTATTTTTAGTAGAAATGGGGTCTCACTCTTGCTCAGGTTGGTTGCAAACTCCTGAGCTCAAGCAATCCTCCCGCCTCAGCCTCCCAGAGTGCTAAGATTATAGGCGTGAACAACCACGCCCAGCCCGATTGTATTTTACTTTTTTGAGGCCGGGTAGAGCTATATTTCCCAGGCTGACCTCAAACTCCTGCACTCAAGAGATCCAAGTAGCTGGGACTACAGACGTGCACCGGCACAGCCAGCTGATCTGCGATTTTCATCTCAAGCTATCAGAGTTCCTGCTCTTGGTCTATATGCAATACTGTCTCAACTTAGTCAATTCTCTAACCGTCTTCCCTAAAACCCGTCAACATCCCTTTCTTCAAATTCTGTAGCACTTTCAGCAGTCACAACTGCAAGAAATAACCACAAGCAGAAACAAAACAACTCCACACATATACTGAAATCAAACTCTCCTCCAAGCATTTCAGCCTTGCCTGTGCTGGCTCCAAGTTCAGTCCTGCCACGTCCTCTAAATGCTGCCCTGGAACCTCTGAACACAGCCTTGAAAAACATGTTCAGTCTTGAGTATTAATAGAGAAATAGCAGTGAGGCCAGATAGATTTGTTTATGAGAATTCGAGACTCTGGAAAACAGCTTAGAGCAACTTTAAAATAGCAACCAGTGGCATAAACACACCAATTACACAGGGCGGTCAGGGGATGTGCTGCAAACAGCAATTTATTAAAGAAAATAAAACCCTGGTGACAGTTTTAAAATCCTCGTCAAAACACTTTTTGTCTGAAGGCAATATTTTTATAGTTCTTATTCCCTGGCTATAAATGTGTGTTTCTTCTTAAATAGTCGTTTCAGAAGCCCAGGTCCACCCCAGGAGACAAGCTGCTGACATCATCCCGTTCCACAAAAAAGCAATTGTTCAGCCTCCAAGAAAATGGAGTGAGGCCTGCCTTCCCCAAGGACGGGTTGGGGAAGGGGCCACCCCGCCCCTTATCTGTGATGTGTGTGCAGCGCTTGATGTGATTTTTTTTTTTTTTTTTTTTTAAGATCACCACCATCCTGTGGGGTTTTCCCGATGAGGTTTTAGGGGAGGCGCTCACGTAAAGGGCAGTGTCTGATGTCAGTCAGCATGTGACAGGGACAAAAATCCTTCACTTGAGACTGTTCTCAAAGCCATCTCTATCTCCCCACCCCCATCCCAATTCCTCCTCTTCTAGCCAATCCTGCCAGCCATATAGTTATCTCATTTCCTCTGCTTTTTTTTTTTTTTTTTTTTTCCCCTACAGAGGGATAGACTGGACTTGAAATCCCTGCAGGAGGAAGAGAAATTAAAAAGGGAAAGTTCCCATCCCTGTCTGGCCTCGGGGCCAAGTACCTACAAGATCATCAGAGCTTCCCCAGTGCAGAGAATGATGGTTTCTTAGCATGACGTCAAGTGTGAACACAAGCCAGTCTCAGTCCCTTACCCTTCCGCGGGTCGCATTGCTGTTTTCCTTGGTTGGTCAAGTGTCTTGTTGCTGGAGCCCTCAGAGAGGAGGTGGGAAGGGAGTAAGAAAAAGCAAAGCTGTCCCGCCACACATTTATAAATATTTATTGAGCAAATACTATGTGCCAAGTACTGTATTGTGTGTGTAGCTGAGTCAACCCAACACAGACTCTGCCCTCCAGGAGCTTACAGACCAACATCCAGCAAATAAATCGACTAAGTAAACACATTTTTAAATAAGAAATTGTGACAAGGAGGGGCCAGGCGCGGTGGCTCACGCCTGTAATCCTAGCACTCTGGGAGGCCGAGGCGGGCGGATTGTTTGAGCTCAGGAGTTCGAGACCAGCCTGAGCAAGAGTGAGACCCCGTCTCTACCAAAAATAGAAAGAAATTAATTGGACAGCTAAAAATGTATAGAAAAAATTAGCCAGTCATGGTGGCACATGCCTGTAGTCCCAGCTACTTGGGAGGCTGAGGCAGGAGGATTGCTTGAGCCCAGGAGTCTGAGGTTGCTGTGAGCTAGGCTGACGCCACGGCACTCACTCTAGCCCAGGCAACAAAGTGAGACTCTGTCTCAAAAAAAAAAAAAAAAAGAAAAAGAAATTGTGACAAGGGCTATCAAGGAAGCAGGGTACGTTGACCATGAGAGGGAACAAGATCATCTCGGTGGAGAGTGTCAGGGATAACAGCAGCCAGGCGACAGTCACTGGAAGTGAGGAAGAGGAGAGCCTCCAAATATTTAATTAGAACAGAAAGTGTGGGCTCCAGTGAAACTAGTCGGGAGGACTCTGTCATGGTGGCGACAGGACATTATACGTTTGTCCAAACCCACAGAATGTGCACCGTCAGGGGAGAGCCCCAACATAAACTACGGACTTTAGTTAATACCAATGTGTCAATACTCATGCATCAGTTGTGACAGATACACTACAATCATTCAATGTATTAATACCTGGAGATGCTGTGCAGGGGAGAGGTGGGAAGAGGAGCTATATGAGAACTCCCTGCACTTTCTGCCCGATTTTTCTATAAACCTAAACTGCTTTTAAAAAAATAAAGTCTTGTAATTTAAAAAGAAGAAAGCATGGTCTTTAGGATCTGGCTCAAAGAAAAATCAGAAAGGCGTCAGAGGCTTTACTGGGAAGGAAAAAGAACTTAAAGATAATATAGATTTATTTTGAAGAAAAAAGGCAACTTTGTCCTTATAAGTCTAGTTTGAGCCTAACACAGGTCAAAGAGCCAAGAGACATCCTTAGCGTCCTACCACTATTCCATAACTTGAAATCTTAAAGGATTTGGGAATATGACACAGCACACTTTTGATCAATCATAATAAGATCAATTGAAAACATCGATCTTCTTCCCCTATTCAAACCAAAGCACATTTTCACAGTCCAGGTCTTCTGGCGTCAATCAAAGTTAGATGGAAATGTCTACTCAGATCCTTGGGATCTTTAGTGAATTTGGACAAAACCACTTAACTTTTAATCACCTATGAAATGGAGAGAACACTTACCCCATAGGCTCGCTGTGAAACCTAAAGAGACTTGGCATTCTGTAAACTGTGTATATTATTATAATCAATGGTAAGGATCTTATTGATACGGTACTGACGTAATGCTAAGTGCTTTACGGCCATTATCTCATTTAATCTTCCCCTAGCCCCATTGCTAAGGTGAGAGAAGACTCAGGGAGGTTTAGTGACTCACCCAAGATCACGCAGCCAATAAGGGATGAAAGCAGGATGCAAACTCAGCTCAGCCTGTTTTCACAGTTCTCTCAAATGCCTACGCATAGACTGCCTGTGTGAGTACAAGGAGTCAGCCTTGTAGGTGAAATCTTTATGTCTTATTTCACACTTACGTTGCTAAATTATGTCAGACTCGTCTACAACAGTGATCTTACTTTGGGGTCGATGTGCAGGTAGGTTACAAAGCAGCTAAAGCTGGAAGGAAATGAAGATGAAGTAGACTGTGCTTTTCCTAAGATTCAGAAGGAAGTGATTATTCCTTGATTCTTTCTGTATTGTCTCAAAAAGAAAAAAAACACAAAATGAGCTTGGGCCTTCAGACCTTCCAAACCTACGACCACTGAGCTCCACCTGCACCTGGCCATCCATGCAACCTTGCGGAGTGTATAGAGGCCTTTCCCTGCATCTAACTCCCTCTCTCTTGGCTGTACCTGGATGGACGTCCATTGCTTTTATGCAAAGCCTGTCTGATCCCAAGCACTTGTCCTAAAAGCCTATGATCAGGGTAAGAATAATTACACCGAGTCTTTCATTATATTTCTCTGTTATTTATATAATTCACTTGAAAGTGTTAATTAATATTTAATGTGTTCAAGGAAAAAAGTATTGGAGGGTAGGGATCTAAAATATAACTATCATTGATACATTACATTCTTTCTCACAGAAATAATTCACCTTTTAAAATTTTCCTTGCACTCGAAATTGTGTTTTCCCAAGAATGTAAATCTCGATGAGTCTACGAAACCCTAATAGTGGGAGGCCTTATGTTTTGTCACAGAGTATCCACTTCAGCCACCCCCATAAGTCCCATTGAGCAAACCATCCCCAAGCTGCACGTGAGCTGTGCAGACACGTGAGTTCGTGAGTGTGTGTAGACGCTCTGACTTAAACGAATGATGCCGCGACATCACAACCACACACACACACACACACACACACACACACACACACACACACAGAGTAACTTTCCTAGGGTTTTTTCTTTGGGGGGGAGGGTTTTTTTTGGTTGTTTTTTTTTTGCCCTTACAACTAAATTGAATTCATTTTCTAGAACATTTAGTGAATTTCAGAGTTCCAAACCAAAGAACTAAATATTGGGTCTTCACAGAGACCCCCAGCTTCCCAGACTTCAAATGAGAGAGAGAGAGAGAGAGAGAGAGAGGCAGGAAAACCCCTTGGTTAACTCTGATTACATTTGGAAAAGGCAAATCACTAGGAAATGCAGCAAAAATAAATAAGAAGCCTAACACAGGGCATGAGAACAAGGAGCCACCTTATGCTGTGGCCAGCAGAGGCTCTCCAACATTTCATCAGCGGGATTCCAGCCAACTTCCTAAGCTCACTTTTATAAAGCCGGCCCCAGGCCGTCCGGAGCAAGATGTGGCCCTGCAGTCTACCTGCTCCATAGCTGCTGCAGAGGGGCTGGCACAGGGGCCCAGCAGGCTTGCCCTGGAGCCATGGCAAAGAATGGACTTGTAATTTGCATCCTGGTGATTACCTTACTCCTGGACCAGACCACCAGCCTCCCGTCCAAATTAAAAGCCAGGAAGCACAGCAAACGCCGAGTGAAAGGTAATGGGGTTTCTCGATCTAGCAAAATTTTAGGCTTATTGGGTGTGGGGAGGTGCGGGACAGTGTTCACTTCCAAACTCCTCCAGGAGACCGTCCCTGGTGACAGCACAGTCATGCCTGTATGGCATTTCATGGAATTGAGTGACCTTTTCATTCTCTGGGACAGTTTGATATTTAAAAAAATCGTGTGGTTGGGCTTTTTTTGTAAATAGAAAAAAACTTAGTAATATGAAAAGTTTCTATATTGTATATCTTTTGTTAGGTGGGCTTAGATAGAATGTCCCTGTAGAGGGAGCTCACCTGGTTATGTGAACATCTGGTATCATGAATGATATAGGGCAAGCAGAACATATCGATTAAGCAAGTACACTGATTTACTTGTGACATTGAATATAAGTCTATTCAAATATATTTGCAAGATAACTATAATCCTATTAAATGTGTAGTAGAGGATAGAGCTATTGGTAATGGTGACTTCATTTTTTGACATTGGTCATCATGTAGGTATAGTTTCATATCCCTGGTAGTATAAGGACAGTCTGTATTTAAACTTTTTCATGCATATACAGAGAAATTGAACTGCTCTTTAACTTAAAAATATATGAGTATGCAAAGTCATAGAGTGTTTGAAGACATTTTGGTGCAAAGTTGAATCTCCTAAGCAATCCCAAATTTGGGGTAGCCTCAACTGGGTTAACAGGTGGAAAAAAAATTGCAAAAAACAAAGGAGATGGCAATTTATTTGCAATATGCTGAAAGCAAAGAAAAAAGAAAAAAAGCAAGATGCAGGGTGATGTTTTATTTCATCCTCAGTGATTTTCGTATCAGGGTATTTAAAAATATGTATTATGACACTATTTCCTTCTCAGTTTCACTTCACTAGTAACAAAACACACCAAAAAAAAAAATACTAACAAGGTTAAAATCTTGATTTGACAGACAGACTGCTGGTGGGCAAAAGGGAGTTTTTTGTATTGTCTTGTTGCATTTTGTTTTAACGATTCTGAAGTGCCCTTTTCCAGGGGCATTTACTTATAAAATTTAGGTCTGATGTGAGGTTTCTTAAGTGGAATCTTGTTTTTTCTTGTAACATATTCTACCTCCCTCTTTGAATGACGAGAGATTGAAATATTTCTTATGAGTAGATGCAGTATATTGCTATAGACAAGGTCAGGGGACGAGAAGACACTGGGTGACGTGGCATATTTTTGTTGCCAGCATTTCTTCACCACTGGGAGAGAGGGGCCAAATGGTGACCACCCAAGTAGGGATGTGTATCATCCCCCAAAAGTTTTTGCTAATTTTTTGCCATTAGGTCCAAGAAAGTAAATTCTATAGGAGGTGAAACAACAAACCTAAACTTGCCAAAAAGTTCTTTCCCCACCCACCCACATGCTTTTAAAATATTTTGAATACCTTGAAATAAAGTTTATGAAATCAAAAGTGAAAGCCATCCAGGCTCAGCGACTAATGCTTATAATTCTAGCACTTTGGGAGGCCAAGGAGGGAGGATCGCTTGAGGCCAGGAGTTCAAGACCAGCCTGAGTGACATGGTGAGACCCCATCTCTACAAAAAATTAAAAAATTAGCCAGGCACGGTGGCACACCCTTATAGTCCCAGCTACTCGTGAGGCTGAGGCAGGAGGATCTCTTGAGCCCAGGACATGGAGGTTGCAGGGAGCTATGATGACATATCACTGCACTCTAGCCTGGACAACAGAACAAGACTTTGTCTTGAAAAAAAAAAAAAAGCGAAAGCCATCTTGTCTCTCCCAATCCTCATCATGGGATCATCCACTGTTAACTGTTGGGTGATAATACTCCCAGAGTCTTTTAAATGCATGATTAAAATGGATATTTTTAACAAAATAAGAATTGGCTATGCAAAATATTTGGCAGGCAAATGAATTTATTTCACCTAGAAAATATCGGATAGCTGTCAATATAAAGCATACTTCGTTCCTTTCACAGCTGCATAACAGCCCGTTGTTTGGATGGGTCATGACTTAATCTGTTCTTTCTTGGGAAATTTTGTCCGGTTTCCAATATATCTCTTTTTGATTCAATACCCCTAAGGAACTGCTTAGCACACATGTACTGACCCCCACGCTAAGATGTTATGATATGTTTCTAAAAGTAAAAGTACAGACTAATCATACTTTCTAATTGTCTCTTCAAATGGTAACATCAATCCGTGCTCCCATCTTCAGCGTATGAGAGTGCCCATTCCCTTACACCTGGACGACCGGACATCATATAATGGCCTCTGGGAATTATTTCTGCATTCCTATACGGTACCCACTTCTTGAGAACAGCAACGATAAAATGAAAGGGAGCTTTCCTTGGGACTCAGAATGGCCATTGAATGATTTAGCTAGCTCCAAACACAAGAGTTCCCTGGTACTTACCTCATAGGTCTCAACAAATTATGTACTGCATTAATGAATAAAATATCATTTTTATAGCGAAATAGTTGTTCGGTGTATTCCCTTTGTTTATGCCAGACAAAACACATCCACATTAGCTACAAAGGATGGAAGCCAAAGCCAAGTCACCTGGATAATGACTTCTATAATAATCTCCCAGGAGTCTAATATTGATTCGTGTGTTTTCACGTTAGATACAATGTTTACAGTCTCCCAGTGGAGACCACTTATTTAAATAGAATGGAGCAGGAAGCCGAGAGGTTTGGGGGATGATGTTTGTAGAGCTGAAAATTTATAACTTGGAAGCAAGTCTTCAGCAGCTTTTGTAAGCCTGGCCCCCAACAGCTGATGGTTTCACATTCTGAATGCACCCTTATGTTTATTCTGGATTGAATGGTCCCAAGGAGAAAATCCTTGGGTTTTTGTATTTCCGAGCTGAGCTATCGGATGTTTGGAGAATTGATGTGCAGCATAAAGTGAAACAGAAGTGGGAGCCACCCCCGGATATTCCAGAAGATATTTTCCTAACCCAAATGTGGACGCACCCGGCTTGTGAAGCACACGTTTAAGGGAACAGTAAATTAGCACATTTGGATTTTAGACTGAAAAATCCAGTATAGAACACAGATTCTCTATCTGGCACCACAAAGAAGCAGCTGAGGACAGTTCATGTCAAGCTTTAAGTATCTTCTCTGTCTGGGGCCAAGTGCTAGGGACCAAGGAGGTAGAGGTGATCGCTGTGCAGAAGCGGACAGGAGGGGTGGGAAGAGAACAGGCCTGGAGCCAGAAAATTCACATCCCAACTCTATACCTTACCAGCTGGGTGACCTTCCGCAGATTAAATCAGCTTTCTGTGACTCTATTTCTTATTCTGTGAAATGGAGAGAATGACAGTGTCTATCTCCTAGGAATATTGAAAGAATTAATCTCTGGCATACAGGATATGGCAGCTTTTAATATTTTTTATTTTTATGATTTATTGTAATTCCTGCCTTTGAACAGCTTGCAAGCCGTCAAGCTCTAAGAGAGTCCCCATTAGTCTTGGAATTCGGATTTAGCCAAAGCTGCTCATTTTCTGCCACTCTCTCATAGCCACAGTTGGTAAAGGACAGCCATGAAGAGTCTTTAGCCTCTTCCAGGAAACTCAAAAACTAAATAAGTTGCTACTCCCTAATATAGATGTATTTTTATATGGCCATTTATTACTTAATTCTGCCAGGAGCCACCATACCTGAGGCATCACCTGTGTAGAGGATACTTGGGGACAGGGGACTTGGGGAACTGAATAACACTGAGTTCTGCCATTTATCTGCATAATCACTTCATTTATTGGGCTCGTCCTCCCTCGTTCTTTTTTTTTTTTTTTGAGACAGACTCTCACTCTGTTGCCCTGGCACAGTGCAGTGGCGCCATTGTAGCTCACTGCAACCTCAAACTCCTGGGTTCAGATGATCCTCCTGTCTCAGCCTCCTGAGTAGCTGGGACTACAGGCATGTGCCACCGCGCACCTGGCTAATTTGTTTATTTTTAGTAGAGACAGGGTCTCACTCTTGCTCAGGCTGGTCTCCAACTCCCGAGCTCAAGCCATCCTCCCGCCTCAGCCTCCCAGAGTGCTGGGATTACAGGCGTAAATCACAGCGCCCGGCTTTCATCCTCATTCTTCAACGAGAATCCCACTTTTCTCCCTTCGTAGCTATTTTTGAAGAGCAAATGAAAACAATATAGCATAAAATGTTTATTCACTCAATATTATTTAGTTAAGCATCAGAAATACCATGGATAATGAGCCTGATGAAATAAAGTGAGTAAAGTATTAATACAGAATAGAGAAAGTGCTCTGGAGAAAAATAAACAAGTTTCAAAGAAAGATCAGTGCGAGGGATACTAATTGAGAGGATAATCAGAAAAGTCTTCTCAGAAGAGGAGATACTTACACTTGGCAAGAATCAGGGCAAGAGCTGGGCTGGAGTGAGGAGAGGTCCGACAGAGGTCACTCTCAGAGGCATCGGAAAGTCAGCAAGCCGGAAGCCGCAGGATGCGCCTGGAGAAGCAGGGGGTCTATCCATCTCATAGAAGGACCTTCTAGTCCCATCGTCCCCACCAAGCCCTTCTGAATCTCCTTGCCCAAGTTATTTTCACGCATTCTATTTCACATACACTGGGCTTGGTTTCATCAACACCACCACTGCCTTGGATGCTACATTCCAAAGCTTTCTTTTATTTTAATCATGTGCTTTTCATTCTGCCTACCCCCTCCCACCCTGAAATTTCCTCCAGAAAAGGATGGCGACCTGAAGACTCAAGTTGAAAAGCTCTGGAGAGAAGTCAATGCCCTGAAGGAAATGCAAGCCCTGCAGACAGGTAAGACCCCGCTGCATCAGGGCCTCGTCCCAGCAGAGATAGGAAAATACATAGCGATGGTCAGTGGTTTGGGCTCCACTTGTACTCGCCATCAATTTGGTACTAACTGATCAACACTAGGGTGATCACATGGCAGAAATACTCTCCAGGGATTAGGGAGATGTGGGGGTAAATCCACAACTAAAGGACACGGGGAGCACTGTAGGGGGGGAAGGGCATGTCTTTAACCCTCACTTGGGTGAGGCAAAGACATAAAGTGTAACCATAATGTTTGTACCCTCACAATACCCTGAAATAAAAAAAAAAATCATATCTAGGCTACTTGTTGAGTTCTGGGTGACATTTTTTAAAAAGAAACATTGCCAAACTAGAGATATGTCCAAGTGGGAGGACCCCAAAGCTGGGAGATGATTGTTTTGGGAAAGCAGCTGGATTTGCTATCCCATTCTCCTATATATGGGTGGTATAGAAATAAAAATAGGTAGTTCAGGAAAATATTTTAAGAGTCAGTCCATAATTATCTCTAATGTGTAATGAATAAAGCGAATAACAGAATAAAGCGAGTACTAAGTGACTGAAATGATTAGCATTTACTGGATGTTAAGTCAGTGCCCATCAGGAGATCCACTCAGCTCCAACTAAAACGGGCTCGGAGAGTTCACTTGGGCCACATTCAACATCAGACGCACATGGAAGGAAGTTGGTTAGAACCACAGGTTGCCAATGGTGCAGTGCCCAGTGCTCCTTCTCCATGGGACTAGAGCTCCCAACATCCTATGCAGCCGTACATCCTGCTGTCCAGGAGATATTCTCTAAAACGTGAGCGAATGAGAGCCACACAGGGCAGGAGCAGGAACAGCCCAGGTTTACAAGGCTCATACCCCCAGGAGCCAACATCCTTTGTAGCAACTCCAAAAGCAGAGTGTCGAGGGTCCCGTTAAGAGACCTGCTCAATTACAAGTTACCGCCTTCAGGGAAGAGTGAAGTTATGGCTTTCCAGCAAGTATTTCTAACTCCCAGGCCAGGTGGATGCTACCAATCCAGGGTCATTTTTGCCGTAAGCAATGTTGCCTGGTAACAAGAGTGACATATTCCCTTTATGAGGTTTCCAGGGGAACAGAATTAGAAAGTTAAAGGAAGATCAAATGCTCATGTTGAAGGGGCAAGAGTTTTGTGAACATTCTATTCAGTCGGACACTATAAATTCTTTTTATTTTGTTTTGTTTTGCTTTGTTTTGTTTTGTTTTCTTTTGAGAGAGGGTCTCTCTCTGACACCCAGGCTAGAGTGCAGTGGTGTCATCATAACTCACTGCAACCTCGAACTCCTGAGATCAAGCGATCCTCCTGCCTTAGTCTCCCAAGTAGCTGGGACTAATTTTTTCTATTTTTAGTAGAGACCAGGTCTCATTCTTGCTCAGGCTGATCTCAAACTCCTGACCTCAAATGATCCTCCTGCCTCGACCTCCCAGAATGCTAGGATTACAGGTGTGAACCACCTTACCTGGCCTATAAATTCTTTATAATAATATTAATACATTAATCCTACAACTTATGTTGACTCCTCTGACAAATTAAGCTATTATGATTATCCTCATTTTATAGATGGGGAAACCAAGGCACAAAGAAATTAAGTAATTTGTTCAAGATTTACACAGCTAGTTGATGTCAGAGATGAGACCTGAGGTGTCAGAGATGAGACCCTGGAGCCTCAGTCTCCAAAGCTATGCCCTAAAACTATCTTTATGTTAGCTTTATCTTGAATAACCTAAACAGTATTACCAGGGCTCAGTTATCTGCTTAAGAGTTACTGTTTCTCCACACTCGGAGTCAGACTTTTGTTTTTGTTTGTTTTTAATACTTATAAAAGACCATCCAGTTGCAAAAGTCCCAAGGAAGTTCAGCACATCGTGGAACTACATAAACCAGCAAGCATGTGTATGTAAAAGCAGCACGAGGCTTAAGGTGGGCAGACCTGGGTTTGTGTAGTTGTGATCTTAACATGCTATGTAAATTACATTTACATGCTAAGTTGTGACAAAGAACAACTTCTCTGAGCCTCAATAGCCTGATGTGTGAAATGGGAATAATCAAATGCCACTTCATGGGGTTGTCATGATTAGGAGTTCATTTATGTAAAATACTTGGCACAGTGTCTGGCACATACCAAAATCTTCAATAAGTGTTAACTCATTATCATCATCATACATCATTCATTCCACAGATATTTATAGCTATTCCAGTCCTAGGCACAATACGCTCCAAAAATCTTACTATGTCAAATTTCACATCTTCACAGTCTGTCTCCGAGGAACAAAAGTTCACAAGAAATGCTACCTTGCTTCAGAAGCCTTGAAGCATTTCCACGATGCCAACGAAGACTGCATTTCCAAGGGAGGGACCCTGGTTATCCCCAGGAACTCCGATGAAATCAACGCCCTCCGAGACTATGGTAAAAGTAGCCTGCCAGGTGTCAATGACTTTTGGCTGGGCATCAATGACATGGTCACGGAAGGCAAGTTTGTTGATGTCAATGGAATTGCTATCTCCTTCCTCAACTGGGACCATGCGCAGCCTAACGGTGGCAAGCGGGAAAACTGTGTCCTGTTCTCCCAATCCGCTCAGGGCAAGTGGAGTGACGAGGCCTGCCGCAGCAGCAAAAGGTACATATGCGAGTTTACCATCCCTTCGTAGACCCTGAATGCGTCTTCCAAGCAAGATCAGTCATGATGGATAGGATGATGGTCCCCCAAAATAAGTCAGAATTGTAATAATTAATTGCAAAATTGCAACTCAGGAGTCAATAGCAATACAACAGAGTCAGCCGATATTGATAACACATTTCATTGTGATTTTGCCCTCAGTGGGGTACGGGGCAAAGGGCATCAGAATATAACAACCCAGCCATGTGCACGCTGTTCAAGTGACTTCTACAAAGGGGGCTATCAAATCCTTCTCTCCTTCCTACTCCCTCTTAACTTGTACAAACCCAATCTATTTAAAAAAACACAATCGCCATGCATTTCTTCAATCCAGAAAAACAAGCTTAGCCTACCCAGAAGATTTTGTCTTGAATGTTTAGTATATATTTGATTGATGAGAATCCCCTAAAGTCAGAGATTCTAGGTGCTATATAATCCAGAAATGTTCCAGCCTGATGCTCAATCCATTTCATCCTGGCAATAACACCTCGTCAGCCCATTACCTTCCTTTGAGTTGCTGCATCTCCTGGTGAGACTCGTATCTCCATATCAGAACATGAATGTCCGACAAGGTACTGATTTAACTCCTTTTCCTCGAGTCCCCCCTGCCCGATCCTTTTTGGAAGTTTCCAGTCAAGATTTGAAAGGAAATGACAAGGCAACATATTTGATCGATTTCCATGCCCAGCATTACATTACAACTTCCAACTTAAATGGGTAAGTCTAGGGCAGACCAAGAGCTGAAGACTCTATGGGAAAAGAAAACGGAAAAAAGAAAATCTACATTTCTTTTGCTTTGGTGTTTGTACTCTCTCCCTCTATGAAATTGAGGGTGGACTTTATACCTGTTAGTTTCCTTTTTTGACATTCCTTATACACA